ATTTCATTAAGGGCAAAATTGATTTTTACATAAAAACCCAAATGGGTCATTTGACCCGACTATTTTGGAAATTCTCCCGTATTCTACTTGCATATTCAATAAGTTGGACGAGACAATTTAAAGAAAAAATAATACAATATGTTATGGTTGAATCGTTTCTGAATAGTGGGTATCAAACATGTTGTATGATTAAAACGGAATATGAATTTGGTTGAATTCAAGAAAATCAAGATCTTAAAACATCAATATATTTGCAAATTTCGTGTTGCTCTGTCATTTTCAAACATGCTCTAGGTAAAAGAATGAATTGATTTGTTTATTTCAAGTCAAAAGATCCAATGAACACTTTTTTCTTTTCAATTTTCAGAGGAAGCATCCATTACAATAGATTCGGAGAAGAAGAAAGTGACAATAATCGGTGAGATAGATCCCGCGTTGATGGCGAGACTATTGAAGAGCGTGTGGAAAGAAAGATAAAGAAAAGTCCAGCAAGTAGACAGGCCCACAATAGAGCCCAAAAAAAAATTAAGAGGAGTCTGAAAATGTGAAAACAAAAGAGGACCGCATTAAATTTAAAAAAAAAGGCAAACAGACAAGAAGATTGCCCTTGTTTGCGGATATTGAAATTAGATTTTTAGCAAATTTTGATTGAAATTTGATTAAATATGTGATTAAAAGTTGTGGATCCATGAAATATGTGACTGATATTAATTATTGATTTTGACTTAAATTAAAATATTAATTTTAATCTCTACCAAATAGGGGCTCAATAAACTTTGGAATTGTGTCGTAGGATTATTTAAAAACTTTTAGGAGGACATATTTAGGCCATGTTGGGTACGGTTGACAAATCTGATTAAAATTTAAACTAAAGTCAATAATTAATTTTTACTACACATTTTATAGAATTCACGACTTTTCAACTACATATTCAATCAACTTTTATCTAAATCTATTGAAAAGTTGGTTTTTATCTCTACCAAATATGGGGTTGAGGTAAATTTTTAAAGATTATTATAATGTAATTTTAAAATAGTATCTTATATTTATTTTTAAGTTTAGAAACGTGGTCAAGCTAATGAATTAGATCTCTACAAACTCGAAATTAAAATCGGGCTCCACAACAATCCATGTGTTAATTCCATCCACATATCCTATATTTTTATATACTAGGTGCAAGCAACGTGCAATGTACGTTTGCTTAATTTATATTTAATAGTTTTGTTTAAGAATTAATTTGTTATTAATAAAGATGTAATTTTTTTGGTTAAAACTAATTATTGAATTTATCACAAGCAAAGTGATGATACCC